TTGCTATTTAGTCCCAGTTCTTTATGCCGGAGTGAAAATTTGACAATCGGAAAAGTTGATTAGGAAAATTAAGAGGATGAGGAAGGGAAAGAGAAAATAAATGTCTGGCTACCGAGATTTGAAGACTATTGTTATTTTAGGAACCCCCAAAGTTGGAAAAACCAGTCTTTTTCGCCAAATAGTTAATCAACATTCATTAGTCGGGGACAGAAAACTCGCCAAAATCAGCCCAATAGTTAACTATACTGAAAGTCTAATCAAAATAGAAGAAAATTTTTACAAGTTGATTGATACTCCTCCTCTGCTACTTCGTCCCCACGCCGAAATAGAAAAAGCGAGAGAGAAACAGATTGAAGAATTATTAAAAAAAAGTTCCTTAATTTTGTGAGTAGTAAAAGAAATAAACGAGAAAACATCTTTGCTTAATAAACAGTTAAGGAAATTTTTGATTCCTCGCTTCTTGATTGGCAATAAATGAGAGGGGGAGGAAAATTTTTCTTCTTGGCCTGCTTTGAGGCCGGATTATTTTTGGGTTTTTTCAGCATCAAATCCTACCAATCTCGACCAATTAATAAAGCAAATAATTACTCTACTTCCGGCACCGCGAGTCGAGGAAGACACAAAAAAGGAAAAGTTGAATTTACTTATTTTTGGTCCGCCTAATTCGGGTAAATCGACTCTCATGAACTATTTACTCCAAGAAAATCGTTCTTTGGCTACTCCGTTGGCTGGGACCACCCAAGAACCGGTAATTAGTCCTTGGAATTGAAAAAAAATTGCTTGACAATTGGTTGACACAGCTGGCATTACTAAGGAAAAAAAATTGCCTATTAGTCTTTGAAAATCATCTGACTTAGTTTGAGCGGTAATTGACGCTAGCCGACCACTAACTAAACAGATTTTTCAGATTATTAATTTGGGAGAAAAATACCACAAGCCACTTTTTATAATTGTCAACAAATGTGATTTATTACCCGACCAAAGATTAATAATTTCGGAATTAAGAAACCGTTTAAAATCTCTTGGTTATTGTCCTGTCATCTGTCTTTCGGTCTTAAAAGGAACCGGATTTAGTTCGTTGGCGGAAAGTTTAAACAAAGTATGAAAAAACGCTCAAAAAAGGTTAACTAAAAAACAGATTAGCCAAGCAATCGAACAAATGATTGCGGCTAATTCGCCGCTTTACCACCGGGGCAATAAATTAAAAATTTATTTTGCCCGGCAAGAGGCGGCCGGTCTAACTCCACATTTTATTTTTTTTGTCAATAATCCCCGGTGAATTCATTTTTCTTATCAACGTTACGTTATTAATTTTTTCCGGAAGCATTTTGGTTTTGAGTATTTGCCCATCAAAATTACTTGACGAAAAAGCATTTAATGTTGACATTAGAAAGCCCTTTTTTTAATCAGTAGATGTAGTGTGTATATGTGTTTATTTATCGGAAATAATGTTCTAAGTCAGACAGTCCAAAGAATTTAGTTAAATCTTGATATCTTGTTGTGACTAGGAGAGAAATTGCTTTGCCAGAAAAAGTATTCACTCTCAATTATGATAATAATAAATAAATCTCATGAAAGTTAAAAAATCCTTAAAACCAGAACTATCCTTCTTTACTTGTGTATTAATGGCTTTGGTCATGATTTTCTTCACTTTGGTCATTAGTCAGTTGTTTTCAAACACAAAATCACTGGTCCTTGGGAGAAGAATTTAAAATACTAAATATGGAAAATTATCACTGATATATTTTGGTCGTGCAAAGAGGGAAAGAAGAAAAAATTATCGCCGACCTTAAATTAGAATTAGAAGAAAAATCTAATCAGTGAGCGGCAGAGAGTATTCAGGATTTAAAAGCCTTGCCAAGCCTAATGAAAAGTTATATTTTTTGTTATTGTCATTTAACTCCCAAACTAATTCGTTTTCTTACTAAAACTACCGGAATAATTAGTTTCTTAAATTACAAAAAAAATGACTTACGATTACCTAATCCTGTTTCTCCCGAAGTCATAAAAAAACTTTTTTCCGTGCCGCTCCCAAAAAATCTTACCCCTTTCCAACCTGCCGATTTAAATGTTGGTGATTTGGTTCTAATTAAGGAAGGGAATTTTTCTAATTGCGAAGGACGTATTACTTATTCGAGTGAAAAAAAAGTTAAAATTGACCTAGACTTTTTGGGAAGAAAAATATCTCTCGATGCTCTTCCCGAAAATTGTCAAAAATTACTCATTTAGAAAATCAGAAAAAATGTAGTGAGACGACATGTTACTCTAATATTTAGCTAATTTTTTGGTTAATCCGGGCAATTTGGTTATTAAGATTAGTGATTTTTGTGTGGCCGGCTCAACCCATAGCCATTTGAAAAAGGGCATAACCGAAGAAGAGAAGAAAAATCACGAAAATAGCCCAACCTACTCTTCTTTGCCATTCAAGATTGGTTACAAATTTTTGGCAATATGTCGAAAAGGCAACTTCTCCGCCCAGAATAGCCAAGAAACGATAAGGAAAATTCAGCACACATTCGCGGTATTCTTGCTCATTTTGGTTTTTGGTTTCGAAAAGGAAGTCTCTTTCTGCCCAGAGATTTAGTAAAATTTAGCTTTTGCTTTTAGTATTAGTCATAACATTTTATAATTTTAAGAAAATAGGTTTGTGTTGCTAAAAATTGAACTGACGCGGCCTGTTTATGAAGATAACAAAAACACTTCATATCATTAGATTTTACTTTTTTAATTTTGTGTTTATTACTACTGCTTATGCCTTTCTTGGCAAAAACGCCCTAAATTCACCAACTAGCAAATAATTTCTAACTAAAAAACCACAATATAAGAAAAAAGACAATTAAAAAAATAACTTCTCTTCCTCATTCAACCAGCAAAACATTCATCAATCAATTTTTCAGGGCTTTTTTCCACGATATTTTTTTAAAAATTGTTTTTTGATACACATCAATCTTTTTTTAAACGAAGATAATAACTAGGAAATACTGGCAAAATCACTATCCAATTATGGCGGAGTGAGAGAGATTCGAACTCTCGCGTTGACTGATTAGGCCAACCTAGTTTCTTAGCAGGAAACCCTCTTAGCCGCTTGAGTATCACTCCTTTTTACATGTAATTTATAAGTTATTCTGGGAGAATTTTTGTTTTCTATTTCCTCGTTTGTTAAAGAAGCCAAGCCGACCAGTAAGTAAAAAAACGGACTCAATATCCTCAGGTCATCAAACTGATAGTCTCATGAGAAGCCTGGT